CCTCCTTGCCTTTTATTCCTTTGTGTTGTCTGACTGCTGAGGCTAGGACTTCCATCACTATGTTGAATAACAGTGGCGAGAGTGGATGTTTCCACTGCTTCTTAACCCTTGTAAGTATCTTGGAACGCTATGAGACCATTCAGTTAATGCTCCCTTATAACTGTCCTCCGTGCAGTGACTCTAAAGTATTAATGTTCAAAGACAAGGGAAATGAAGTCTCAGGAAACAGGTCTTCTTTGGGAGAATTTGGGTCTTAATTAACTGGGGCTTCTCTGAAATCTCTTCCCAATTATGCAAGGGGAAAAGTGCTACTCGGGATAGGAGCTAAATATGGGGATTCATCCCCTTGAAGGTCACCCTCGATTAGGCAAAGACATTGTCAGGGGGATTAAATTAAAAGAAACGACTTTCACCCCTTTGGTAAGGAAATTAAAAGGCCCTGCTGCCCAATGAGTAGGCAGGATATTGATGACACTAATTGACTTGCACTTGAGAGAAATACTGAATTGGAGAAGGGATTTTTGGATGAAAACCTCCTCTCTGACTTTTAATTTAAAAGTTTCTCTAGCTCTCCTGCCAAGCAGGGTCTCCATCAGTGGGACATAAATCCACAGAGAAAAGAGAACTGAACTGGAGAGAATCTCCCTACCAGACTCTAATTTCTACTCTTGTGAGGTTTTTTTTTTTTCCCCCAGGAGAGAAACACATTTTTAAGCAAGAGAAGATACTCCTTAAGTGTTAAAGTTGGTGATGTATGTAAACAGTGTTTTAGGAAGCCTCAGAATAATAGATGGTTCTGGAATAGCTTAGTTCAGTAATTCCAACTTCTATCCCCTGGGGTGATTTCAACATCTGAGCCTTCTATCATTGCGTCTATCCAGCTCCACCCTCCCAGTCCTGAGAGAAAGCCATGCCTCTCTTGAGGGGTGGGTGGGCTTTAAATTGTTGGTCTTCCTTGGGACCCTGAAATCAACCCCCAAAAGTTCATTTTCCCCCTAAAACTTCTGTCAGATCCTCTGTGCTAACCCTCCTAGACAGGATGGTGGTCTGTCCCACCTGCTCCCAGCTCTCTGTAATCACTTTACACAAAGTGATTACACCAAATCTGACACCTAATGAGACTCGAGGGTCCCTGCTCAGGCACAGGATCCCCAAAATCTCTCACAGGAGAGGTAAACTCACCGAGAAGGAACTGGACAGGAAAACGGGCTATCACTACAGACACTCACATGTCCGTCCCTCCTTAAACTTTTAAGTTGGAAAGGTTTCCCGGATCCGCATCTGGCACAGAACCATGGGGATACTCAAAGCTAACAAATCGTTTTCTGAAGCTATAATTAAGACATCAAAAAGGTCAGAGGGTCTAGAGGAGAGCGTCCCAACTCTGACACTGCCCTTCTCAACCTGAGTTTAGGAACCTCCTGTCGTATGCCGCATGCCATCAAAATGGATCCTGTCGCCCAAGAAACCACACTCTCCAAAAACCCGGAAGGCAACTGACTTCAGCTTGAAAACCACTACCAGAGAACACTTTGAACTCACTGTTCATTGTGTGATTAGGCCAAGCCTGCAGTTGAGTCATTTTCACCAATGTCTTACTTTCTCCTACTTAGCTTGTGGGTGATTTGAAGACAAAGGCTTTTCTGTTAACCGGCCATGTTACTCAGTACCTGGGCAAATATTTGGCCCTCCAGATGTGTGTACCTCACCTGTTTCATAGGCTTTCTGGTATTTTTCACCATGCAAGGCAGCTTTCCAACCTAATATTTATATCATACTTTACAGTCTACACAATGTTTTCCCAACCATATTCCCATTAGGTCCTTAGAACCTCATTGTGAGATAGGCATGCATTTTTACAGATGGAGGGACAGAGGGGTGCTTGGCTCATTACATGACCCAGCAGGGAGAACCCACGGATCCAACCACCGCCCCGTATTTTGTGTGTGCTACACCTTGCTGCCTCGAAGCCAGGACTGTTTCCAAGCTCAATTTTTTCATAAGCTAGACAGCCTCTGGGGTAAAACAACTGGATGTACTTATGTCCTCGGAAAGTGTAAATAAAAACCCGAACTGTCCAAAATGAAGGCAACGCCATGTGATGTGAATATAGAGTATCATTTAAATGGGTTCCTGAGCTACGTAAAAGGCCTAAACTCTGTCTGGCCCACTTAGGTGGTCGAGCTGGGCGTCCCTTCGCTTCTCCAGGCCTCAGTTTCCCCCTCCGTGGAGGAGGGCTGGTCCTAGAGTCTACACTGGATGAAGATCTCTTCCGCTCCCTTGCTGTCCAAGCCTGTTTCACCCCGGCCTCTGCGGTGAACTCAACGTAGGTCACGCAAAGGAGGCCCAGCGGGAGGCAGAGGAGCCCTGGTCTGCCCTGCCTGAGCAAACGGGGACAGAAGGGCGCGGACCCCGTAGCCCCGCCCCGTCATCCCTCTGCAGCCCGGCGGCCGTAGCCAGGGGCCTGAGCGGGTTGCCAGAGAGTCGCCGGCCAAGGACGAGGCGGGGCGCTGGGGTCTGCGGCGCCCCGTGAGGCCTCGGGGCGGACTGCGGGAGGTCCCCTCTCCGCCTCGGCCACCCCCACCCGGTTCCCACAGCCGCCCAGGCCAGCCCGGAGCCCGCGCCCACGACGCATGCGCGCCCCAGCCTCAGCCACCGGCGCTGGGGGCGGGGCAGGCCGAGCGCAGTTGCCGCGGCGCCCGAACACCCGCCCGCGGGAGAAAGGCGCGCGTGTCTAATTAACACAGCTCAAGGACACCAGGGATTAGGATGGGCTGTGCGCGCAGACCTTAGAGTTGAAAGAGGCCATGAGATCATCCTGAAGTCTAGACTGCTGGAGCAGTGGTTCTGGGTGCTTGTTAAAATTCCAGATTCCTGGGCCTCATCCCCAGCGGCCTGGATGCGATCCAAGAATCCATTCTTTACATCACCCTCCAGATAATTCTGGCATAAGTGGTCATTGGCTGGGCCCACCCTCTCATTTCAATGAGTATACGAGTCGGATCATAGACATAGAAATGATTGGCCCAGGGGCGTCTGGGTGGCTCGGTTAAGAGTCCAACTTAGTTCAGGGCATGATCGCCCGGCTCGTGGGTTCAAGCCCTGCATCGGGCTCTGTGGTGACAGCTCAGAGCCTGGAGCCTGCTTCGGATTCTGTGTCACCCTCTATCTGCCCCTCTCCTGCTCCCGCTCTGTCTCTCTCACGTGCAAATATAAATACACGTTTAAAAAATGAAACGATTGGCCCAAGATCGTACAGAATGAAGTGGCAGAGCCTGGTGTCCCAAATTTGTGGACTTGCACTCAAGTGCTTTCCCCTCCGGTTCTGTTCCTTCCCCTCCTGCCTCATGTTCAGGGCATGTTTAATAAGTACCAGGCAGGCTGGAAGGCCGTTCATTTCCATTGGTTGAGCTAAGCGAAGAATGACAGTCCCTTTCTCAGAACACCAAAGAATCCCGTCCAGCGACTCCACATCAAAGCTCCACTCCTGGCTCTGACCTTGGGCCAGTACTGACTCACTCTGCGTTGGGGTTGGGGCATCCTGGAGAGAGCTAAGCCCACCAGAGGGAACGGTGACCAATTTGGGTGTATACGCTCCCTCCCCGTACACACCCCTTGTCAGTATGTCAGTGTGAAAGACTTTGCATATGGCATTAGAGGCATAACCCAACAAGAATGTAAAATGCTCCCGTGTCTTTATGCATGTGTGTGGAGTTGCGGGGGAGGCGGGGGCAGGGTCTGACCCATCCAAGTGTGCTGGATTCTGGCTCAAGTTTAGGCGTGTTCAGTAACGGGCAGTGGCCCCAGTCCAGGACAGCTGGATCATATGTGCTGACAGCCACTTTCAATGGCCCTGGATGGGGAAATGGACACTCCCTTGCATACCCTCACGAGAAGCCGAGAAGCCGCTGGGGAAGCATCAGGGATAAGCAGAGATAAGATCCCTGCACAGGTTCGCACCCCTGCTGGAGTCAGCCGGTTGTCCCCCCCCCCCCCTCCCGTCTCCTCCCAGGTCAAAGCCTGGGAGACAAAGCCTGCCCCTGTAGAGAGAGGAGGGGGCTTGCGGCTGCAGATGCTGGGACCTATTTGCTTTCAGAATTCCCCTCTCCCCTGGAGGGAGAGCAGCTAGCCAAGCAATTACACCAGGCGATTCCATTGCCAGTGAGGGTCCTCAGGACCGTTCCGTGGCACGAGGTTGGGTGTTTTCAAGGCTACTCCGACACTCGGTCCAGGAGTATGTCATCTGCCTCTGCTTCTCCCAAATCTCTGCCCCTCTTTATCTGTCCTGACCCAGCCTCGCCGTCTCAAAACCTCAAAGCTGCAACTCTTTCCGAGAAAGCCAGGAACACAGCTGTGAGTCCCATTCCCTGTGGGGGAGTTCCAGCTCTCCCTCCTGGCTCCAGATGTAAAGGAACAGCTGTGGGGGTGGCAAGATGCCTAGCTGGCAGCTAAGTGGGGCCTGGGAAGATGGAGAACAAAGCAGGGAGATACAGGCAAATGGCAGGGCTCTCGTAATTCTAGAGACTCGGGGAAAACAGCATTTTGTCCCCTGGCCCGGCAACTGGCTGGATGGGCCTTGCCAAATCCCTCAGACGTTGCCTGAGTCCTGCCCATCCCCATCCTGGCAGCCTGGGCCACTGGCAAGACCTTCTCTAAACTCCATTTTATGATTCCCACTTAATCTGAGAAAGGAAACTTGGCTTCCTTTGTCTGGCTCCACCCCTGCCCTCAGACGCACACCTCCCAGCATGAGGTTCTAGAAGCTTAAGTCTGGAGAGGGAAAGACAGGGAGTGGGGGGAGGGTTCTGCCACTCCCATCTGGCATCCTCCCACCCCCTCCTACCTCTGGAACGTTAAACCAGGATGCAGGATGCCAGGCTGGCTGTCCAGAGACAGCCAGTAGCAACCCTGTCTACTGCTGGGACAGGGGGCCCCCTGCCGTGATCCACTGCCCCATCCATGCTCTCCCCAACTTGAAGGACACAGGGTATCACAACTCCTTCCGTTTTAGGAAAAATAGTTTAATGATAGGTTTCAAACCTCTTTTCTAGACGAGGTCCCATTCTCCGTGGAACCCCCATACCAGTGCTCTTCCCATGCCTGCTGGGAGGTAGCAGCCCCTCTCTGGAGGGCACCCACCCACTCCGGACATCCCTGCCCTCCTGGGAGGCCTGCTCTGGGTCTAGGCTTTGGTGGGCCCAGCACTTTCGTGTTTTTTATAAAAAGCGGGCAGAACACTGTACTATGCCCTCTCTTCCAGATGCCATGGGACCAGCCCATGGCACATTCCTACCTTTTAATTAAATAGCCCATTAAATAACCTCCCGGTGCTGGTGGAGAAGGGATGCCACAGCCAACAGACCCCATGCCTCGAACGGCCTCCCACCACCCCAGGGCCTCCACCCTGACGGGATCGGGCCTCCACAAGAGCAGCCCGGGGCACGGCCTCATCTCAGACCTGGCCAGTACCAGGACCCCTCTCCACACGGGGGACGGTGAGTCCAGGCAGGTCCTGCTGGTGCCAGGCACCCCCACAGCCAGGGATGGGGCCGCTCAGGTGGCAGAGCAGGCAGACTGTTGGGTAGAACTCCTGCCCAAGTCAGAAGAAGGTGAGGTTCTTGACTGCTCCAATCTCCAGCATCCGCTTGATGGCCAGGGCCTCTTGGGAGACGTTGTGGCCTGACCCCTGTGGAGACAGCCAAGGAAGCATACTGAAGGACTCCCAGGGACCCCCTGGCCCAAGAAGGTGCCTCTGGTGCTCCCCACGGCCCTGCACTTCCGGGACCTCCCTTCCCCGTGCTGGCTCCCACAGGGAAGACAGGACCCATGTGGCCAGACACAGAGGACTCCGGCCAGAAGTCCAGGGGTCTCGGTTCCAGTTCTGACCCTCTGAGTTCCTCACCACGAGCCACCTCTGGGCCCCTGGCACCACTCTCACTCACCCAGTGTCCCCAGCCCCGCCCCACCCAGCTCGGAAGCAGGGGCCGCTTACCGCCATGGATTTGAGCGTGATCTGTTCGTAGTAGTGAATGGTCTGCTTCCTGTTGTGGGCGTCTGGGTAGCCAAAGCCAGCGATGTGCACCAGGTCGCAGAGGTGGAGTGCCAGGGTGATGGCCAGCAGGCCTGTGGTGGGCTTCTGAGGGACAAGGGGGTGGGGAAATATTAGAGGGAGCCCTTCTCCCTTCCCCGCCTTCTAGGCCAGCGCTCTGCAACAGACCCTGTCATCCCCGCGGTGTTCTTCATGTCCCGTCTATACAGCAGTCACCAGCCTCGTGCGGCTACTGGGCATAGGGGCGGGGCTCGTGCAGCGGCAGTAGAGCTGGATCTCTTCCTTTATTTAATTTTACACTTAATTAATTTAACTTTTTAAATTTAAATAGCCACAAGTGGCTCATGGCTACCAGACTGGACAGTATAACCCAACACGTCGCAGGGAGGTTTGGGCCTTTCAGGCATGATGATGGCACTCAGGATGATAATGATGATGACGATAATAATAATAATAATAATAATAATAATAATAATAACATCTAATACCTTTTGAGCACTTACTGTGTGCCAGACACTATGTTAAGCATCTTACCCAGTATAATATATTATTGCGTCCAATCCTCACAAAAACACTTTGAGGTAGACCTTATGATGGGCCCCGTTTTACCAATGGGGAAACTGAGGCTTACAACTGTTAAAAAAAAACTTGCTCAAGGAGTGGAAAGGCTCTGCTCTCCGCCTCGGAAAACCTCATCTCTTTCAGAAAACCCGGGCTCTCTCACTCACGGGCCGTGGGCCTCGTGATGAGGGTGGGGTGGGCTCTCCCCTTCCGTGAAGTGGGGACAGCACCCTCTGGGCTGCTATGGGGACCTACCTTCTCCATCCCTAATTCATCCATGGGGAGGGGCAACCTGATACCCTAGGCTCGCAAATCCTGCCTTCCTCAGCTCCGGCAACCTGCCTTGCTGACCACTTGAGCTGCCCGCTCCCATTTAGGAACCACTCCCTAGACCTTGTCAGGCCTCCCACTGCCAGGTTTTTCCTGGTGTCCCTGCCGAGCTCTCCTGTTGATTCAGCTGTCCCTTCCTGCCTGGGCCTTCTGTTCCACCCCTGCTGCTTCAACCACCACTGCGTTATCTTATCCAGTTTGCACCTTTGCCCAACCCCATCTCCATGGCCGTCGAGCCAGCTCTGCCTAGACACGGGCTCCTGAAACTTGCCAGACTCTCCCCTCCCCGCCGAACCCCCTCTACTGGTTAAGCACGTTGCCGTCCAGCCAGCTGTCTAAGCCAGAAACCTAGAATTGTTATAAATCTCTCAACTTCACTGAGAAATAAATGGTGTCGCAGGAGATCCCTAAGATAACCCCCAATGACCCCTGAGTGCCTACAAATCTGAGATATATTACATTATACTACTCCAGAGGTGCCTTCGGCCGTAAGATAGAGAGATAATCCTGGTGGGTTTGACCTAATCACCTGAGCTTTTTGCCTCTGGGTCTAGAGGGGGGCCATGGAGGAAGTCAGGGGTGTGAAGCACAAGAAGGACTTATCATGTCATTGTTGGCTGGAAGGCGGACAGGGGCTGTATCGTAAGAAACACGCATAATCTCTAAGACCCGAGGGTGTCAAGGCTGAGAACCGGCAAAGGAAACGAGACCTCAGTCCTGAAACCACAAGGAACTGAATTCCTCTGACAAGAAGAGTCTCAGGGGTTGCCTGGGTGGCTCAGTCGGTTAAGCCTCCAACTCCTGATTCCAGCTCAGCTCATGATCCCACGGTTCGCGAGTTCGAGCCCCGCGTCTGCTCTGCGCTGACAGCTCGGAGCCTGCTTGGAATTCTGTCTCCCTCTCTCCCTGCCCCTCCTCCACTCGCTCTCTCTCACTTTCAAAATGAATAAGTAAACATTAAAAAATATTTGTAAACACAAAGGATCTTGGAAGCGCATTCTCCCCCCTCAGCCTCCAGGTAAGAACTCAGTCCAGCTGCCAAGTGGATTTCGGCCTTGGACACCCTGCGCAGAGAAGCCAGCCGTCGTGCTGAACTTCTGGCCCCCAGAACTGTGAGGCCATCAACAGGTATTGCTTTAGGCCACTCAACTGTGGGGATTTGTGAGGTGGGCAGCAATGGGAAATGACTACATCGAGGACATCTCTTCCCATTCCCTTCCCATGCCCGGCTCTGGCCTTCCCCTTCTGCCCCACACCCCATCAGGGCCCTAAAACGTCACCTTGCTGCTCCCCTCCAACCTCACTTGCACTAGAACTCAATGCTGGAGAAGCTGGCTGGTCTTGCCAAAAGAAATACCTTTTCCCCAAGTCTCTGCCCGATGGGCCCCATGACCCCTCAAGGCCCAACTCCAACCTCCTCTGGGTGGGGCCGGCGGGGGCGGGGGGGGGGGGGGGCGCTCCCAGGCAGCCCCAGGCAGAGGTCTGCCCCTCCCCCCAGATCCTACAACATTTGAAACGACTCTCTATTAGCGCATTCTGCCACTCCATGTTGCAACCCGTGTGTTTATTCTGCTGGACTGAGTGTCCTTAGGGCAAGGTACAGGCCTTACCCACCCCCAAGCATGCAAATTTGGGGCTGGGGCTGACCCGCTACAAAAGGAGGCACTCAACATATGGAGCTAAATCATAGTAGATGTTCAGTGAAGAATAAAATTATCTATTCAAAATTTGGCACATAGAGTGAGCACCCACTGTGTACCAAGCTCCATAACAGGCATGTTACAGAATCATGTTTTTTGAATTCTACAAGGGCCTTAAGAAGTCAGTCCTAATACTGTCCCCACCACACAGATAAGGAGAGCGAGGCTCAAAGTGGCTGATCTGCCCAAGGCCATAGAGTAAGCAGGACAGCCGAGTCCCATCTGTGTTTGCTGGTTGCCTCTGAAACTATCCCACACAGCCTCTCTGCGGGCTCAGAGGACATGTGCGGAAGTCCTTGGGAAGGTACGAGCTGGTGGCTAAACTGTAACTTGCAAAACTATACCATGACTCCCAAAATTGACACGTCGCACCAAGCCAAGACAAACCGAAGCTCCTTTAATTCATTCTGACTAATACGTTCCAATGTTAAGATCACAGATAAAGTGTCCTAACAGCAACTGCACAGATTCAGGTTGCTCCAAAGTCAAGGCCATGGACGGTCCCAGCAACTTCCTAGTTTATAAGTTCTGACCAGTGCCTACCAAAACCTCGAACTCCGGCCCCACGCCGTATACAGACCCTTCCCTCACTCCCCGCTCTGCAGATGCCCCATGGTTCTAAAAAGAGCTCACTCTCCCTTCCTGCAGACTTCGAACAAACCAGACTGAATACAGGGGTGTGCCTGGAGGCGTGGTCCAGAGGCCGTCACAGGTGCTGCTCAAATGCCAACTGTCGTCTCTGCTGTTACTTTCCCCTCTCACCGGGTCCTCCGAGGCTTCCCAGACCTCTAGAAATGTCCCAGCCCGACGCTCTGGCTTCCCTGCCCACAGCCCCACCATCACCTGCTTAATCTTGCGAGGCTGCTGCATGGGCAGGTTCAGCAGTTTGTCAGCTGCGATCTCCATGAAGAAGGGGTTGAGAATCCGCACCTGTCTGGGGTTGACGTCCCAGATGAGGGGAGGCTGCTTCCAGAAGCCCTTTCGCACCTAGAGGGCACAGGGTTGGAAGGGAGATATGAGGATGTGAGGACCTTTATCAAGTCCAGCCCGGTGGTCATCAGAGGTGGGGTCCATGAGGTGGCAGAGGCCCTCGGGAATGAGGGGTGAGAAGGGGAGGGAGGTGGAGGCCAGCGCCGGAGAAGGGAAGGGAGACCGGAGGAGAGAATCAGGGGGAGAGAGAAAGGAGGGTACTCCCCAGGGGAGGCCAGGTGACACAGTGTTTAGAATATGGGGTCCAACCACTTCCCACTTCCAAGGATATCCAAACAGGTGGAAGGGGCTTGAGTTTGAGGTTGTCGAAACATCTGGCAAAAATGCGAGATGAGACCATTCAGCATTTGACTGGATGGAAAAAAGACACAGTGGACCCAACCCGGAAGGGCAGATGTCCTGTTCTAACCTATACCCTGCCTGGAGGTCACTACCGACCAGTTCCTCTGCCCCAGATTTCTCACACATATTCTGGCAGCTTCCGTGTCCCAGGCAGCCTCAAGCCTGGGGTGCCCCTGGCTACCGCCACCTGGTTCCTGCCGTCCGTCAGGCCCCGGCTGCTGGGGTGGCTTCTCAGAAGCCCCACAGAACATGGGGTTCACGCCTTCCCCTCCTGGCCTCTTCAGGACCACAGGGCAGACACGGTGGAGCATGACATCCTGAGACAGGCAGTGTCCCATCCCTGAGCCTCGACCCCTCCCCTCCCAGTCTCCCCACTCACCCTCTTCTTATCACTCAGGATGGTCTCAATCCAGTGGAAGTCCATTGCCTTGAAAGCTACCAGGACAAGGAGTGTGTCTGGATTGTTCTCCACTTTGGGGTTGAAGTGGGCAGACTCAGGGTAGAAGAGACGCATGGTGGTCTTGGAGCCCACGTCGCCCTCATAGCCAGCCACTGGGGCGTTGTTCAATCTGGGAGGCGGGGTGGAGGGTGCCCGTCACCCAGAGCCCCGCTGGCCCATCTACAGTCACTCCCAAGCAGAAGGGGCGAGGGCCAGTCCCACAGACCTGATGACCACGTCGTACTTGTTGATGGCGTCTCCCAGCGAGCTATTGCGAAGCCGGTGCCCATTCCCCACCACCACGCAGCGGCGACATTTGAGACTGCCAACGGGAGAGGGTGATCAGCCCCGGGAGTGACCCCTGCTCCTGCTCCACTCAACCCCTGCCCTGGGTCTGCCTGGGGCCTGGCTTAGGATTCCTTTCCAGGCCACCTCGGCCCTTGATCCCCACGGACCAGGCATCTCCCATGGGTCCTGCTTTCAGGCTCCTGCTGACTCCACAGCCCTGGGCTTTGACAGGAGAGGAGACTGAGCAGAGCACAGAAGACACAGGAGGAACAGAGGGAAACCCCTGGCCGGGGGTACTAATAAGAAGCCCCATTTCAAAGCCCCCTCGCCTGCTGCCCAGGCCTGCCCGTTGCCACGGCGACACCCTGCCCGCTACGGCCCCCTGGATGCCCAGGCTCAGTTGCCGTGGACACTGGCGTCCCTGCCTCCTCTGGAGACAGGCAGGCTAGGAAGAAGGGTCAAATTGGCCACAGGGGACCAGAGACAGGAAGGCTCACTGGGGGAAGCTGGCCCACGACTGGCACCTCGGACCTGGGGGCAGGAAGGGGAAGGCGTTCAGACCCAGTGCAAGGAGCGGCTCCTTACCTCTGGATGCTCTCTGGAATGGAGTAGCTGGTGATAGCTAGAACCCGGAGAAGCAGGTCCTCTACAAAAAGATGAGGATTGGGAGGGGTGATGACAACAGTAGCTTTGCAAAGGCTAAAGACTGTCCCTCCACTGCTCCCCAGAGGCTTGGCTGCCTCTTCCTCCCCCGACCTCAGCATCAGAGCCTGGCTCACAACGTGGGCACTGGGACCACGGGCAGCGAAGAACAAGAAGCCGTGTGGCCAAGGTGAGCCCACCATTCCCATCAACCCCGCACGTCTTACCGCTCCCCTTGGTCCCGTAGGGCAGCTCGTAGGCAGACGGCGTCTTGACCCAGAAATAATCCTTCAGCTGCAGGAAGATGGGCTGATCTCGGGAGCAGCTGCACGGAGGTGAAAGCAGGGTGGGGATGAGAAAGGGATTAATCTTGAAGCCCGAATCAGGGTCAGGTCAGGCCCCGGACTGATATGAGGGATCAGGAGGATGTCCGCTCTCTGAACGGCCTCCCCGGAAACAGCTCTGTGCTGACATGTTCAAGGGCCTCTCCTCCCCTCACGGGTTAACCCCGTGACCTAACCCATGTCCGCTAACGCGGTCCCCTCCACCTCGCCGGCACTGAGGCCCCCACCCTGTGCAACCCTCTATCCACCTCACCCTGGCCATGCCCTGTCCCGCCTCAGCCTCAAGTACTTACTTGCCAAAGAGCTTAGAGGCCTTCCTCTCTGCCTCACCCTGGAAGCACGGCTCCTTCTTCTCTGGGCTGGGAAAATAAAAACTGGAGACAGAAAAGGAGAGGAGGCAGGAGCTCCGGTCACACCTCAAGGACCCAGGGGCATAGCAGCATGCAATCCTGTCAACCCAAGTTCGCCCTTCGCCCTGAAACCAACTCGTTCTGGATCCAGCTCTTCCTTGCTCCTGAACTCCCCAGGTGGGGGCCCTGGGGAGCCATCCCAGACCCTACCCGCCAAACCCACCACCTGCCCTCCTGGAGGCATTTCGTGCTAGTAGCTGAAGGGAGGGGTCACGCCCCGGCCCTCAACACCCTCCTGGCCCCGCTAGGTCTGCCGCCTCATGACGCCCCATCCCTGAGCCCACGCCTGAGTAGAACCAATGGAAGGACATGGAAACTGGACTCACAGCTCAATGTACCTGTCTTCTCGGGAGATGGAATACCACACCATGACGATCAGGACCAGCGTCAACATGGCCAGGAGCTTCAAGCCTGCAGGGCACATGCACAGAGGAGCTAGAGGCTGAGACAGGCGGGTAGAGCGCCAGTCCACCTGCCCTGTTTTGGGCCCTTACAACCTCCAGCTCAAGCAGACCCAGTCCTTGGCCCTGGCCTGGCCCTAGTTTTCCAGCAGAGGGCTTGGACCTGAGTGTTTCCACGGTCTTTGAAGATGAAGAGAGGGCCCCCTGGCTCCCTGCCTGTCCCTCCACAACCCCCAGGGGGACCCAGGATGACGCTGAAGACAGCTTCTGGGGGGCCCATCCTTCAGGGCGGGGGAGCCCTGGGACAACACTCACGGGATTTGCTGATCATGTTTCTCAGCGGGTAGCAGGGTTCCTGGGGAGAGCTGTCATCCCGGCTGCCTCGGGCCACCTAGGAGGTAGGAGTCATGTGTGGTCAGCTCCGCAAACTTCCTGCCTAGACACTAGAGTAGGACACACGCGCCTGCTTTCCCTTCTCCAGAAAGCATAGAGCTGCTTCCGGGGAGGCCATCCAGAGAGCGGACATCCTCCTAATCCCTCAAGGGCGGTATCAGGGGTCCAGGTGGGGCATATGCCACAGAAAGGGAAACCAAGCCCCACCCCTCGAAGATTAGGTCTCAAGCCAGACTGGCCTCTTCCAGCTTCCCTGGCGTGGTTTCTCGGGGCTCCGTGTCCTCTTCCTCACTTGGATCTGGGAAGGGCCAGCTCCAGGAGACAGACGGACACCTCGACCCACTTTGCTGAGCTTTAGCTGTCCTCCGCCATCCAAAGCATTCCCTCAGTTCTGGCGGCCGCCCACCTCTCCATCCTCAGTCTCCCACTACTAAGCCAAACAGGTCCTCTCAGGCCAGACACTGGGGCGACGACGCACCATGGGACGGTCCGTACAGCCTCCTCCAGATCTTCTGGACTCTGACTAAAACGCAGTGCCCAAACCCTTAGCATCCCAGTGCTGGAGGGGGAGGAGGAGGGCGGGGAGTCCATGAAGGCAAGTGTTTGAAGGGGAGTGCAGGGAGGGAGGAGGGTCTGGTTGGTAGACGAAGAGACAGGAGACCCCTCTGGGGTCTTTGGCAAAGGACAAAGGGCATGGCAAGGACAGGGCTCTGGAAAGGGGCCAGCTGCTACATGCACATAAGCAGAGAGGTCCCGACACACATCAGCCAGGGCTACGCTGCAGAGTCACTGGGGAAGAAGTTTCGGCATCTTGCCCAGCCACACGAAGGGGAGCAGGACACCAAGCATTTTTTTTTTTTTTTTTTTTTTTTTTTTTTTGTCCACACGGTGTTCCTCAGTGCCCTGGATCAGAAGAATTGCCCTGGGCCACTTACTGAAAACATAGATTCCAGGGCCCCTCCCGGGGATTGCTGAGTCAGCCAGGGTGGGACCCGGGGACAGGCATTTTCACAAGCAGCCCAGGTGATTCTTGTGATCCACCTGGAAAGGGAGGGAATCTCTAGTGTTTGCGCTCTCTCACAGAGACCTGGAAAACTTCAAATTATGTCTTCAGGACGAGAGCTGGGTTTTGTTACAAATCATAAATCAATTATCCCGAACACTGTCCTATTATGAAGTTGATGTTTTGCCCCCAGGCGCCGCTCTGAGTCCACAAACACCAAGGAAGAATTTTAGTCTTGGAGCGGGGAGGAGAGAGCAGGGTAGGGGCGGGTGAGGGATGGGGACCAGAGACAGACATCCTCCATAGAGTCATGAGCACCCATCCCCAAACCCCAGATGGAAGATGACCCTGCCCAGTAAGGAAAAGTTCTGGGGCACCTTGGTGGCTCAGTCGGTTAAACGCCTGACTTCAGCTCAGGTCATGATCTTACAGCTCATGAGTTCGAGCCCCATGTCGGGGTCTGTGCTGACAGCTCAGAGCCTGAAGCCTTCTTTGGATTCTGTGTCTCTGTCTCTCTCTGCCCCTCTCTTGCTTGCGCTCTGTCTCTGTCTCTCTCTCAAAAATAAATACACATTAAAAAATTTTTTAAAAAAGAAAAGAAAAGTTCTGAATTTGTAGTTAGAAGACCCAGTAAGGGGGCTCCTGGGTAGCTCAGTTGGCTAAGCACCTGACTCTTGGTTTTGGCTCAGGTCATGATCTCACAGTTCATGAGATTGAGTCCCGTGTAGGGGTCTGCACTGACAGTGTGGAGCCTGCTTGGGATTCTCTCCTCCCTCTCTCTCTGCCCCTCCCCTGCTCATGCACTTGTGCACCTGCTCTCTCTCTCTCTCAAAATAAATAAACTTAAAAAAAAAAAAAAGACACCAGTGAAAGCCATGGTTCTAGTAACTTACCTGACCACTATCCCCGAAAGTGACATGCCTTCTTCCATACCTACCTACAGCCACAGCCAAGTCATACCTTCCCTAGCACCTTCCAGAGCACTTCTCCTGATCTGTAATGAGCTTAGATACTTTCTGTCTGTCTCTCCCACTGGAACATGAGCTCTGTGAGGGTAGCAATGAGGTCAGTCTTATACCCAGCATCCAGCACACTGCCTGGCACAGAACCAGTGCTCAGGAAGTACTGAATGAGTAAGTAACACCTTGGGTTACCTTGGAGGAGTCACATCTCCCTCTCTGACCCTCGGTTTCTTTGGTTATAAAACTGGGAAGTTAGCTTAGTAGATGCTTGCAGCTCAAAATATACTTATCAGGTCAGCAGCATGGGCATCACTAGGGACCATATCAGAAATATATTAATCTCGGGGCACCTGGGTGGCTGGGTCGGTTGAGCATCCAACTTCGGCTCAGGTCATGATCTCACAGTTGGTGGGTTCAAGCCCCGTGTTGGGCTCTGTGCTAACAACTCAGAGCCTGGAGCCTGCTTCAGATTCTGTGTCTCCCTCTCTCTCTCTGCCCCTCACCTGCTGACGCTCTCTCTCTCAAAAGTAAACAAACATTCAAAAAGTATAAAATAAATAAACATTAAAAAAAATTTTTAATGCATAATCTCAGGCCCCTCCACACCTACAAAATCAGGATCTGCATTTGAATAAGATCTCCTGATCAATGAGAGGTACATTCAAGTTTAAGAAACACTAGTTAAACTGGGTGTTTTTGATCTTGGCTGAACAGGAAAATCACCTGGGGTGCTAAATAATTTTTAAAGTAAAGTATAATTAAGAGTATCTGGGTCCCACACCTAGGAATTCTCACTTAATGTGACAGGCCCAGCACTGGAATTTGTGCAAGCATTTCAGGTGATTCTAACACGCAGCCAAGCAAAATTGCACCTGCATTCTTCTCAAAGATAGAACAAACAATCCTAAAATTTGTATGGAACCACAAAAGACCACGAAGAGCCAAAGTGATACTGAAAAAGAAACCAAAGCAGGAGGCATCACAATCCCAGACTTTAGCCTCTACTACAAAGCTGTAATCATCAAGACAGTATGGTATTGGCACAAAACAGACAAACAGACCAACGGAATAGAATACAGAACCCAGAATTGGACCCACAAATGTATGGCCAACTAATCTTTGACAAAGCAGGAAAGAGTATCCAATGGAAAAAAGACAGTCTTTTTAGCAAATGGTGCTGGGAGAACTGGACAGTAACATGCAGAAAAATGAAACTAGACCACTTTCTTACACCATACACAAAAATAAACTCAAAATGGATGAAAGACCTGAATGTGAGACAGGAAACCACCAAAACCCGAGAGGAGAAAGCAGGCAACAACCTCTTTGACCTCAGCTGCAGCAGTTTCTTACTTGACACATCTCCAAAGGCAAGGGAATTAAAAGCAAAAATGAACTACTGGGACCTCATCAAGATAAAAAGCTTCTGCACTACAAAGGAAACAATCAACAAGACTAAAAGGCAACTGACGGAATGGGAAAAGATATTTGCAAATGACATATCTGGTAAAGGGCTAGTATCTAAAATCTGTTAAAGAACTCACCAAACTCCACACCCGAAAAACAAATAATCCAGTGAAGAAATGGGCAGAAGACATGAATAGACACTTTTCCAAAGAAGACATCCAGATGGCCAACCGACGCATGAAACGATGCTCAACGTCCCTCATCATCAGGGAAATACAAATCAAAGCCACACTGAGATACCACCTCACACCAGTCAGAGTGGCTAAAATGAACAAATCAGGAGACTATAACGCTGGAGAGGATGTGGAGAAACGGGAACCCTCATGCACTGTTGGTGGGAATGCAAACTGGTGCAGCCGCTCTGGAAAACAGTGTGAAGGTTCCTCAAAAAATTAAAAATAGATCTACCCTATGACCCAGCAATAGCACTGCTAGGAATTTACCCAAGGGATACAGGAGTGCTGACGCATAGGGGCACGTGTACCCCAGTGTTTACAGCGGCGCTTTCAACAATAGGCAAATTATGGAAAGTGCCTAAATGTCCAACAACTGACGAATGGATAAAGAAGATGTGGTTTATGTATACAATGGAATACTACTTGGCAATGAGAAAAGAATGAAATCATGCCATCTGCAGCAACGTGGATGGAACTGGAGGGTATTAGGCTAAGTCAGTTAGAGAAAGACAGATATCATATGTTTTCACTCATATGTGGATCTTGAGAAACTTAACAGAAGACCATGGGGGAAGGGAAGGGGAGCAAAAAAACAGTTACAAACAGAGAGAGAAGGAGGCAAACCATAAGACACCCTTAAATACAGAAAACAAACTGAGGGTTGATGGGGCGTGGGGGAGAGGGGAAAGTGGGTGATGGGAAGGGAGGAGGGCACTGGTTGGGATGAGCACTAGGTATTGTATGGAAGTTAATTTGACAATAAATTATATTAAAATAAAAGGAACTACTGAGGAGGAGGAGGAGGAGGAGGGTGGGAAGAATAAGGGGGTGGGAGGAGGAGGAAGGAGGGAGGGGGGAAGGCGGAGGAGGTAGGGGAGAGGAGGGGGAAGCGGAGGAGGAGGAGGAAGGGAAGGATAATGAGGATGTCCGAATGAATGACCAAAGCAGGCTGCTCAACCTTGATGTGTACATCCTGACTCAGTGGGTGTGGCTGGGTATGAATTCTAACTCCCAGGTGGTGCCCTGCTGCTGGGCTAGGACCACACTCTGTGTTGGAGAGCTCCACGCCAGGATCCTGAGAGCTCAGGACTTGAGGAACCACACCCTACACCCTCTCCTACCCTCTGCTCCCTCTCAATCTTTCATGACAGGATTCACTCCATTTCACTTCATCTCCTTTTGTATCAGTAGGTCAGGACATCGGTGACCTGACTAGCACAAGGCCAGCACCTGAGAAATACGAAAATATATAGATGTCTACGTCCCCTTCTCCGAAATTGTTATTTAATTGGTTAAGGGCAGGGCACAGGCATTCCTAAACAAAACAAAACAAACCCCCACCTCCCTGGTGATTCTAACAGGAAGCCGGGATGAAAAATACCACATACCG